AAAAAAAAAAAAAAAAAGAGAGAACACCAACTAAAAGAAGAGTCCGGGTAACATAGATTGTACCTGGATAGATGTGAGTATAGCTGCAGCATCATATATAGGGCTCCACTGATTTTGTAGGATGTCCAAACAAATACTTCCATCTGCGTAAACTGATTACAAGATAAAATCCAAAATGAGATTCACATTAAGTTAAAATATCAACGAACTGACTTCTTTTTTTCAATGCCATAGTCTTACTATTTGGGTGGAACATCCGTGAAACAAAACGAACAGTGGGTGGCTTGTTTGGATAATCTTCTGTAAACTGGAGTGTCAGTTTAAACGTACCTGTCACACTCAAATGTATAAGGCATGAGATGATTGAAATAACCAGTATCATCACAAATGAATATAATGCAACTCAAACTAATAAGTGCACGGGATATCTATTGAGTAGTGTAATTTACAAACCCAATGACAGATGAATTTTTATGTTCTATATTGTTTTGTCCATTTTTTTCCAATGATTGTAAGGAAATTAACAGGAAGATAAAACTTTTATGCTGGTTTTACAACTTAAAATATAATACAGAATTCTAATGGGAGTATCATTTGGCAATCCACATTACACACGAGAGAGAACAAGGTGTAACAAAGAAAGGGTATAACCAGCATTAAATCAAAACTTTAAGTACACGAGCATGGCCTCTAAAAACTCAAAAATAAAGAAAGAAAGGAGAAAATATATATCTTAACATCAAATATGACAAGATTAACGCACCTCCATCCCAAGGTGTATCATCCGGACTGCAATCCACACGAGACAAGGAAGTCATAAACCGTAAGACATATTACCAACAATATAAGAAATTATTCATAATTCACTAAATTAGCAAACCGCAGCTTCATTTGAATAAAACTAAAAGGACATTCACCCGAATATAACCGCATTCCAAAGCATGATATTATTGTCTTGTGGGGCGCCACTGATGCCTGCAGGTGGGTCCTGCTGCAACCTCCTGAAGTCTCTCATCAGCCTCTTCCTAGCTGGGGTCGACATCTCAAATCCCTGATGTTAATAAGAATTAAAACCCATTATACCAAATTGATCATCAAAACAAGCTACTTTACGATAAAACGTTATAATCCAGGTTAATAACTAGTCTACAAACTCAAAATAAACCGTAATGACATAGGATCTGTTCGCCTAAGAACAATTAAAAAAGCGTTCTGCCTTCCCAAGTTCCCAGCAATACCCAATTCGACAAAGAATCCGCAAACCCAAAAAAAATCAAATCTTTTTTACAAAAGTAGAGAAAATAATAAGCAAGACTAGGGTTATCTGCTGTAAGCAGCTTGCAAGCAGCTAACAGCTTCCGAAAAGCTATAAATTCCAAAAGAAACACTTCTCATCAAGGAAAAGAAAACATCAGCTAACATGGATCATTCGATTACTTCAATCATGGAACCCACAATTGCACATAAAAACTATCAGCTGAAATAAATAAAAAAATTAAAAAAATATACTCCAATTGGATCAGTTGTTCGCCTAAGCACGGTTATCATAACTCTGCCTTCCAAACAATAACCAGTTCGACAAAGAACCCAACAACCCTAAAAAATCAAATCTTTTTCACAAGAAAATAGATAAAATAATAACTGAAACTAGGGTTATCTAGGTTAAGCAGCTCACAGTTTCCAAATAGCCATAAATTCCAAAACAAACGCTTCTAATTCAGACAAAGAAAACATCAGCTAACACGAATCATTCGATTACTTCAGATATTAAAACCCGAAAAACTAATCTAGATTTTGGATCGTTCATTTTCAAACAAGATCAAGTTCGTACATCCAAGAAAGAGCACGCAAATTAAATCGGCCGTGCGATCAGAGAGATGTGCGATTTTCAGAAAAGATTATACCTTCGAGGGACTTTTTTCAGCGGCGTTTCTCTAGGAGAAAGGGGCGGAGACTATAAAAAGTGAACAGGACAAGGAAAACGATGATCGGTGGTATATTTAAATATTTATATTTGATTGAGAAAATTTCAATAATGATCCAAAGGCTAATTTGGAACATAGTAATAAACTAATAATATAGTGGAAAAATGTTACAGTCCCGTTACGGAACCATTAATAATATAGTGGAAAAATGTTACAGTCCCGTTACAGAACCATTCCGTCGAGGTTTGTAACCGTTTGATCATCATGTAACCGTTAAGGATAGTTGATGTTACAGACTCCGACAGAATAATTTCGTAACGATTTTTCTATGAAGCTAACAGTTGGCTCCATAGTGGAATCACCTTCTATATACCACAAATAAACATATTATATTATCTGATTATTTAAATAAATACTCATACTTTCACTAATATGGTATGATTTACTTGTTATAGATAAAAGGTTGACTCTACTATGAAGTCAAATGTTGGCTTTATAGCAAAACCGGATTCCGTAATGGGACTTTAGCTTCTCCCTAATATAGTATTGAAAAAATATTTCCATTTTCTCTTATCAATTTTATGAACACGTTAAATACTAGTATTCGAACCTTTGCACATGCACAAGTATAAATAAAGTATTATAAGTTATTTATATTCATATAAGCTAGATAATTGTACTAAATTTTAAACATAGAGTATCATAAGTTATATTTATGCATATAATAGTGAAATTATAAGTTAGATAATGGTATTATGTATTAAATTTGATCATTGGTTATAATAAATAGTACGTAACTATTTGATTGCATATGAATCACTATATTGATTGTATAAAATTTATTAAATAATGTAATATTTGTAATTTTGAGATATCATGATGATTAATTTGCTAAAAATATTAGTTTTGTAACAATTACGATTTTAAAGAATCTTATTATGACATTAAAATATATTTATTTTTTAAAAAAACAATCGTTTAATCATATAAAAAAATAAAATATTGATTTTAGAAAAAAAAACTTGAACAAAAAGTTTACAATTTAAATTTTATGATTATGTAGCTTCATATATGTAAAATATAATTACTATTTATAATAATAACTATTACATATTACAATAAATAACATAATTAATTATCAATTAATATAAAATATAACAGTTTTTGTCTTAACTAACATAATCAATTTTTGAAAAGTTATGTGCCACGTAGATATAATTTATGATGTTTTATTTGATGGATTGCTAGTAATTATATATATATATATATATATATATATATATATATATCTATATATGTTCATTGTTTATTAATTTAAATTTATAAGTAGTATTTATCATCTACAATTATTGGTTTAGAGCGACTCACCCTATTTTTCCTGTTGTTGAAGTCATTCGGAGCCTAGATCTAGAGCCAGAGTGGCCTCCTCGTCGAATATGTCTAGACTGTTCATCCGCAATTTTTGGGTATGGGTTCTAGATCTATAATTCTGGTATGGTTTTAGCTGCGGTGTAGGGTCTTGGTGTCGGTTAGGTGGTCTCGCCTGCTAAGTTTAGGAGATGTTCTATTTTATGTATTTAGGTATGTGTTTTTTCTGTTTCTTGTTTGTTAGTCCAGCTTGTCTGGTTTATGTCCTTTGTGGAGTTTTCTTCTCCTTCTTGGAGTTTCGTTTCAATGTTTTGTGATTGCCTCATTGATGGAATTGTTACCTCTTGAATTCCTTGGAATTTCAAGAGGATAGGTCCAGCTATCTGGTTCCTTGACGTCAGTTGATATCCCCTATGTACTCATTTTGAGTTTTATATTTATCTAAGTATTTGTCGTTTGAAAAAAAAAACATTTAACTGAAAAATTCGATTTTTCAATATGTTTTTAATTCGAAGGTAAAAGAACAAGTACGAAAAAACTGTCCACCCCACAAGTACGAATTTTTCCATTTCACCAACTAAATTTGTCCGTACATGGATTTTTTTAAATGAAATCCCAGTGTTACCTTCCTAATAAATGTTATAGGTACATAATATTGTACATATGAGTATACATAACAATCACATTGTGTGAGATCGACCGAAAAATAATAATTAAGTGGACTCCACTCGCGTCGAGTGTTATGTACACCTCTATATACATTTATTATATACTTTGTATACTTTGTAGCATTTTTCTTCCTTCCAATGGGTCGACAAAATTTATTGATATGAAGTATGAACTATCATGTTGCATACATACATATTGATAAACGTTAGTTCGCTTGGAGAAATATGAGCTAAAATGTTTTTAAGGCTCAGCTCTCATGGGCCATCTATTATGGGCCACAACTCTTAATAGACTACTGTACAAATGGCCCAAGAGACGCATTCAGCTCAAATCACTCGATTCTCGGGAGTCAAATTGGAAAAATGGAAAAACAAATTCAACAAACTAATCAGCACAATCCTCCTTAATCTCTGTAAAACCTCTTCAAAACCTTATCTAATTCTTATCTAATCCGTTATCATCACGAAGGTCCTTATAAATGTCCGAGGTGAGCTTGTTGCTTGTGAGTGAGTGAGTGTGTATTTCCCGTGAGTGTTTTTTTTTCACCCTTCACTTGAACAATGTACGGATTAATGGCTTCGAGACGCTTGCAAAGCAAATGCGCTTCTTTGAGCTGGTTCAGCTCTTTCAGTGCTTCAAGGTACTAATCGATTTTCGGTTTTGAGGGTTTTGGGTTTGCGTGTTTGTGTTCGAAATTTTGATGGGTTCGATGATCCGAGCTCGAGACTGTTAAAAGTGGTGAAAAATTGAATCTTTTTTGGATGGTCGATTGAATTTTATCATTTGCTAGGGATTTGATGTTGGGTTGAGAATGAATTAAAAAAATATTTGTTTATAAGATAACCCAACCATCTTTTTTGAGCTCTGATGAACACTGTATTATGGTTGGATAGTTGCGATTCGGCTACAAAACTGGTGGATATAGTCTGTTTTGTTATCAAGAATCTATTGCCGTTGCATGTGAAAAGATATTACCCAATCAGTGTTTTGTGAGTAGGGTTTAAATTGAATCGGCCTTCTGCGTAAACTTCTTGAGCTGTTGTGTGGTTGATGCAGGTTTGCTCATTCACTAGCCTTTGCCACAGTGAAAGCCGAAGAAATATCAGGCGCTCAGCCAGCTGAAGTTCTGAATTTGGGTACTCGATAAAAATCTCGAAGCAAGTTTGTCCTTAGAAAGTCGGTTTATAGATTAAGAAATTTCTTCGTCGTGCTTTCCTGTCATCTTATATTCAATATGTTTCGAATGGCTATTATCCAAATTTTACGCCCTCCCTTTTTTCATCTAGTTTCCCTTTTTAAGAAAAAA